ATTTATATGGTCTGCACATTAACTGAAGTGTAAAAAGGCATCATATAGAACCAGTTGTGATTAAGCAATTTTGAACGTGCTGTCGAACTGTGGATGTAATATGCAAATTACCAGAGAAAACTCTAAGACACCAACAAACATTAAATATTGCGATACTTTACTGTATGGATTTTATTGGGCCACTGTGTAACCAGGGCCACAGATGCTAACTCTAGAACTATCTCTTTCTTTACTCATTGACTGCCATTGATGTATTTGTCTGAGACCCTCTATTTGACTGGGGATTACAGGAAAACAAAAATAGCTTGAAACAAACTTATTTTTGCTGATCAGAGTAGACAATCCAGTCTTTCAGGATCTGGTTTCATATTTCACATAGTCCTAGAAAATAATATTCTGTGGGTCTTGAGAATCAGTGCAATCATCAAAAACAGCTGTCAGTCAATGAGTTAATGTCTGTGTCCACTGTCCCTTCAATAAAGATGAAATATTGGTTTTAAAGCCGTCGTGAAAGCTTTACTCATAAATATAAATATCTAAAATATCCATCCATCCATCCATCCATTTTCTACCCTTTAATCCATTTCTGGGTCAGGGGGCCCAGAAATATCTAAAATATACTCACTTAAAAGTCCTCTGCACTCACATGTATTTACATTATGTTTCCTCACCACACTAATACAAACACAACACAAAGTGACAATAAATGCTTTAATCAATGTTATAATTTTTTTATTTCAAGTTAAGTATATTTTGACTTTCTTACAACAAAATTTGCCAATGGAACAAGTGCCATTTAGTCTAATTTCAAGTGCTGTTGGATTGTATGTCTCATTCCAAGGAAGACCTTTTTTTGAGCTGTCTTGTATCTTTTTAAAACAAGAAATTTTTGCGTGTCCCTTTGACAAATTGTGTTTTTATATTGTCAAAATGTGCTCAAACTAAGATTTAAAAAAAAAAATGATTCAAGCATTTATTACCTTCTTTCTTTCATTAAATGGATATAACAGTTTTTGAGATCTTATTAATCCTGTACAAATTCACCAATCATATGTTGTAACCAAAAGAATAATACAGAACTGCCCCCCTCCCCCCACATTCACCCTCAACATCCAGCCTTTATCACGTCTCTGCATTGTTGGCAGTGAACGCATGTATTCTCGGATTCTAGCGGCGCTAATTTCCTGCGAAGGATAAAACTGTATGAGCCCAGGTCTTGTTGATTGCGTCCCGCCGGCCTCGGAGTGAAGGTCCGCGCTCTCTCTATCTCACATCATTTATCTGCACCTGATTACTCGACAGCTTACGCACTCGGTCGCCCGTGTTCTAATGTTTAGCCAGCTGTGACGCTCGGCTTAATGACTGAACCGGGTTTATTTAATGGAGTGGAATCTGCTGGAAATGTGAAACTTGCCAGATTCTTGGAAAATCTGTCAAGACGGTGAGTAAGGAGGGAGTCAGCCACATGGTACGAGGAAACAGCTCGGCTCGACTTTCCCAAAGCTGTTGATGGCATTGTTTTTCTCTCCGCGTGGAGCAGGCACCTGTCGTAAATAAGTCAGAATTATTTTGTGAGTACATGGTGAACTTTTGTGGAATAATGTGCCACGTTTGGTGAAAAGTTGGCTCAGAGAGATTTATGTTGGGAATATAAGTGTTTTTTTACGAGAAGGACGGAGAAGATTCTTAAAATGATTTATACCATGGTCGCTCCCTCTTCAAAATAGTTCCCCAAAGGATAACTATATGAGTAAATATGAAAATAGTTATGATAGATTCTTGGTAGGAGCTGTGGTGTGTACTATGGGTGCACACTGGGGTGGTCTTGCACAGTTTTTCCAATGGGGTTTTACTGCAAATGGCAAATAAATTCTTGTATCTTGTTGTATTTTATGGGTATAATATTTTAGGGTCTTACTGTATAAAAAGATTTGCCAAAAGAACACGTTAGCTTTATCTGTGCTGGAAGTAAGATTAAAGTTGGTTGTTCCATTATTTTGTCGACTGTCTCACACCAAATGAGTTTGACTGTTTTACATTCTACATTAATTTGTGTGTATTTTATGCTGTTTTCTTTTTCTGTTGTCTCTGGGAATCACTTTGGGGTGTTGTTGTAAATGCGCTATACAAATAAAGCTGACATTGACATTGTCTAAGAGAAGCTCTCTGCCAGTAAGGCCCCAACAAAAGTTTCCCCCCAAGAGAAAAGGTTAAAGACCCCTGATTTATGCTGTATATTAGCCTGGTCGTACCACACCATAGTACAAATTACATTTTGTACGAAGGTCTGGAGGCGCTCCATTGAGCTCTGTTTACAGGTGGGAGGGGTTAAGTCCTTTTGCAGATTGAAACGATTGGATTTAAGTTTACCGTGACGTATGTAATGCGCCCGAGTGAGTCGTTAGCATTTAGCCTAGCCATCTCCTTTGCCGCTAACGGAGCCTGTGGGGAGTAGCGCCACAATTCTTTCCTGCGATTACATTTGCTAAATATTCCTCTTGCTCCAGCTTCAATTTCTTGATAGAACCAGACCGGATTACTTTACTATCTCATTTTTCGCCAAACTACGACCTTCCCGTTCGACGCAAACTCTTGACGTCACCCACAACAACTAACTAAAACACTCTCCTTCCGCGCTCGCTGGTAGGTCGGTCAAAATTCAACCGATTGTAATCGCTAACACGGGGACCAGACATACAGTGAAATGATGATTGAGCAGAGAGTACGGATGGCTAAGGCCAGGCTAATTTTATTATTGTTTGTTAGTTTTGCGTCATTCAATCCATTGTGAAAGATGGACTCACTTTATCTTCTATAATGTATTGTGTTTGTCAGAAACAGAACCAGCTCAGACAATCCAAGTGCTGTCTTCATCTTTTTATATCAAACTACTAAATTTTTAAGGACGAGCCCTGTGAGTCACTATTTGACTTTTTGGGCTGAGAGCTGATTGGCTGAGAGGGGGTGGTCCTCTCTATTCACTCACATGCATGTTAAAAGTAATGATAGCTCGCTCTTACATGTTACTAGTCACATGGATTTAGTAAGTTAGTCATGTCCGCCATGGCCGCAGCCTTCCATCGCTGCAGGACCTGTACGTCGCCCGAGCTCGAGGCCGGGCTGGTCGCATCACAGCCGACCCCTCTCACCCTGCACATGGACTATTCCAACCACTCCCCTCGGGCAGGAGACTGCGGCCCATCAGGACCAGAACCTTCCGCCGCAATAACAGTTTCTTACCCTCTGCTGTTGGACTCATGAACACTTTATAATCCACCTCTGACCTCTGACCTCATGAACGTCACTTTATGCTACTGTCACTTTGATATAGTCAACTGAAGAAATGTATGTCGATTTTTATTCATGCATGCCTTCTTGTTTTTATTCTGCTTTAACTTGTTTGCACCGAGAGCCAAAGCAATTTCATAGTTTGTGACTTCCTGTTACTCACATGGCAATAAAAATAATTCTGATTCTGATTCTGATGTTTCATTTTCCAGACCAAGGTCACGGAAAGTGCTCTACAATTTACATATATGGTTGTATTTTCTGTGCTCACTGAGAACAAAATAAAATAAATGAAACAGTAGTGCGACAGTAGCTCAGTTGGTAGAGCATTGGCCTTAAGGCCAGAAGGTCGTGGGTTCAATTCCCACCTCTGCACCTTCTCCACCGACTCCCACTGATGACTGCTGTCGTTGTGTCCTTGGGCAAGACACTTAACCCCACTTTGCCCAAAGCCCCCACTGAAAGATCAAGGCTATGCTCACACTCAGAGAGCAGCCGTCCTCCTGTGGACTCACCACCTGCAGAGGGTCAGTGAGGGGCTGGTGCTATGAGACTTGGGTGGCATCTCTGACTGTCACCCCCCTGACCCAGAAATGGATTAAAGGGTAGAAAATGGATGGATGGATGGAAACAAAAATAATGAAATAGTTAGAGACCCGAGCTTTAATAAGTGCTAACCTCAGAACTGTGTGTCTGCAATGCATGCTGGGTAAGGCCTTATGGGAGGGTCATTAGTAGGCGGGTGGTCGTAATGTTATGCTCCATCACTAACTGTGACTCTTAATGTCCTTCTGAGAGACCCATTTCCACAAGAATCACAATCAGAATTTTTGTTTTATTGCCATTATGAGTAACAGGAAGTCCTTGAACAGGAAATCAAGGAAAATGTCTTTGCTCTTAGTGTTATAAAAGTAAAAAATAGAAAAAAGGTAAAAGAAATACAAATTCTGCATAACATTTCTCCAAATCACTGCTGTATGCAAGTGCACACAACTGACAGTTAGCAGTGCAGTAAAGTGACAGTAGCATCAGACAACAGCCCTCCTTTTTTTAATAGTAATCTTAATTTGGAAAAATCAAGCGAAGAAGTGACAAATTGCATTAAACAAACAATGCAAATCCAGATTTACAGATAAGGAATACAAGGCAGTAGGTAGAGAAGGGGGATTCTAATCTGGTGTAATGCATTTTGCTGTATGCGTATTTGCTTTTGTGTGTATGTGAGTGTGTACTGTTGTTGTGTGTGCGTATGTATGTATACTGTATGTGTATGCATTGCAAAAAGAGATGAAAAATAAGTAAGAGTTTGATCAAAATGTATCTAAATTCAAACGCATGTTGACGGCCATCAAACAAAGGCAAAATGATCTTGTTTTAAAAAGACACCAGAAATGTCTCCCTTGGAATGAGAAAGTCCCATCGGCAAATCTTGTCGGAATGAACTCAAATTGAATGACAAATTTACTACTTCATATTGTATCATTTTTTTTGCAGTGTAGCCCTCTTCTGCCGCACACAGTAAACTTTTGATGCGATAGAAGTGTGGGAGCGGGAAGCTGTCAGAAGGAAGTGAACTTTAGCCGGTGTTTGAGTGAGTGGCGTCTCGCTGGTGTTTAGCCGGGGTAAATCCTTCCTGTGTGCGCCCACAGAGACCCTGCTGTATTAAGCCTTCTCTTATCAGCTGATGGGGCATTGACTGTGCTGTTGTGCAGGTTGGCCCCGGTGAGCGAGGAGGCCGCCGTCGGGACCCCCGTGGGAAACATCGTGGCCGCCGCCGTCAATCAAACCATCATCTACTCCATCATCGAGGGCAACGAGCTGGGTGAGTGCACGCGACGGGGGCCGAGGGGGAGGCACGTGGAGCTTTAACGAAGCTTCGGAGGTCACGGTGAGCTTCCCTGAGCTGCACATGTGCACTTTAGTTTTATAGTTAGGAACCGTAAGAATTATGTTTCATTGATGTTTGTTTGGATTGATGTGTTTCTGCTGCTGGTTACCTGGATCTCTCCAACAATGGAGCGATAATTAGCTATCTATCTATTTATCTGTCTCCATCTCTCTCTCTGTCTGTTTCTATGTCTCTCTCTCTGTCTGTCTCTCAGTGTCTGTCTCTGTCTATTTCTCTGTTTCTCTGTCTGTCTCTTGTCTCTCTCTCTGTCTGTCTCTCAGTGTCTGTCTCTGTCTATTTCTCTATTTTTCTCTGTCTGACTGTCTGTCTGTCTCTATCTTAACTATCTATCTATCTTTCAGACAATCACATTGTTTTTATGGTACTCAACATTTGCTATTGTAGGTTTGATATAAGGGAAAGACATAGTTTAGTTGTATAGCACAGTTCATGCACAGATAAGCATCAAAACCATTAGGCGTTCAAATCATAAATAATCTTTGTTCATTAAAAAGAGTGAAGATAAAATCCCTCAGTTGTCACAAAGCTGAACAGAACTGTGTTTAACCTGGATTTAAACACTGTCAGAGTAGAAGCCTGGCTCACATTTTCAGTAAGTAATCTAAAAAACTGCCTCCCCATCTGTAGTTCTCACTCTGGGCACCAGCAGGAGCCCAGTCCCTGTGCTCCTCAGAGTCCACCTTGGTTCATATTGCACTAACATGTCACTTATGTACTTGGTGATGGAGATCTTTTGCATATGTGTAAGAAAGAGCCAGGGTATTGACTATTTAACTCTTTGGGCTGAGACCTGATGAGTGAGTGTGATCTACGCTTTTTCACTTCTCAGTCTGAAAAAAATGATCTTAAGATGAGACAGAGACCAAAAATACATGCATGTGAAAACTATCGATAGAAGCAAACTGTTTAGAGAGTGAGGAACTATTATGATTTATCTCTAACATGATAGAAAAACACTATTATATACATATTGCCACAGGTATTTTTAAACTATTCTTTCATCCATTATGTATGATGATGGATGATGAGGACTTATTGCGTTGGCCATGCTGCTCCACTGCCTGCTTTATAGACCCTCCCAGGACAGACACATGTTTACCAGACCTGCGCACGACCTGAAACCACCATAAACACCAAGTCATTTAATTTATTGCAGAAAATACAAATAAAAACATGCAATAAATGATCACGTTGTCAGACTGCAGAAGGAACCAGACGGCAGCAGTAGTTTATGATTTTCATATGTTCCTCAATAGTAGAAGTCACTATTTATTTACCGCTATCATTTCTGACACTCTCTCTGGGTTAACTGTGATAGTTTAATACGTCAGCGTGTCACGGTCTGTTCATCTAATTGATCTAATATTTGTTTATTGTGGGGTTTGTCCTGCCACATCAGATTTTAGAAGTTTTTGTTGTTGGTAAATGTTAGGTCACTCCTCCATCCATATTGTATCGTTTGTTAGTGGCAATAATTGAAAGGTTTTGAGTGCCACAATTTTGAAATGACCAGAGCCGTGATTTCAACAGCTATTCTGACAACCTCTCCTCAAAACACATTAAAAGTAAGTCATTTATAAGGTTTTTTACCTTAAGCGCTAAAACCGTTTTTGAATGCTACAGACTAATTGCTAACTCCTGTCAAGTAAACTGTGTTGCTATGGTAACACACTGTCACTCTTCTCTGGGTGGGGTGGGGATTGGCAAAACATTGACGATTCGATAGTTTTACGATATGTGGGCCACAATTTAATATTATTGTGATTCTTATTATTTTGCGATACAGCGGGCATTATGGTTTGATTCTGCGATATATTGGTCTGCACATTCACTGAGGTTCACAAAAACAATTCAATGCTACTAGCGCCCCCTTGTGGATGTAATACACAAATGTTAATCATCAAAGTCATGAAAGTGAAACAGATTATCATTTAATTAAATATTGCAATATTTTATTGCATGCACAAAAGATTGCCATACTGTACAGAAACGATTTTTTCCCCCACAAATATTCTCTGGAAACTATGCAGAACGATAAAGAAAGCAAAGTTAAAGGAACATAGTTAAAGGTAGAATAATATATTAAAAAAAATATATATTATTTGAAAATATGAGTATAACAGTTAGGAATAAACTAAAAAGAAAATGTCACAAAGGCACTTTAGCTAAATATTACCACTTCCAAAACTAAAATCCGTCAAATTGACTGCTGTGGGAGTCGTACTGTCAATGAAACGTGTTGAAAGCCTCAGCGTTCATGTGTCATTGACTGTATCCACATGCGTCTGCTCTAAAGTGGAGGCCTTCTGCGTTCGGTGGCGACAGCGCGTCCACTTCAAAAGCCCCGTGCCATTTGATACGTCTTTGTTTTACATCACAGCTGGAGCTAAAGTGCGGCTGAAGCATTGTTTAGCGCCACTCGTTCACATCGCTCTCTCCGCGCTTAAACGTATGATGTGAGGGATCAAAGTCGGCATGTTTGGCTCTTATCTGACGCGGTGGTGCATTTCCACAGCACTGGCCTCGATCACAATAATAATCCTCCTGTTGTGGTAATGGATCTGACAGTTGTATCTCTGACCATGTCCCTATTTGATGTTTGCTGATCGGAGAATACATTACCTTCTATTGAAAGAAGAAATATTATGTCTCTTTATCTGTTACGTATGACACTGAGACTATTTACTTTGTCATTTAATCTGTTGGAATGTGAAATATATATAGATAAGTCAAGTAAAACATCTAGGGTGGTGCATTTATAGTGTGAAGGGGGAAAAATGCTTTCTGCCTGCAACTTCCTTTGCTACCACCAGAGGGAGGAGACTAAATAGTATTTTTTTGTTTTTCCAATTGTGAAATAGAACGTAATTTCACCTGAGAAATTGTCTAAACTAATTTGTTGTGATGTCATAGTGGTGCAATGACATCATAATGTTACAGGACGGAGATAGAAGCTTTTAGTTGTAGTTTTAGACAGCAGGGACAAGGCAAAAAAGCATTAAAATACAAATACAGGATTGCTTTATGTACGTTAAAAATACAATCCTTCAGTTGTATGCACCGCTGAACAGACCTGTTTCCAACCCGCAACATTGTCAGGAGATTAAAATTAAGATTGCAGTGTTGCATCACAAGTTACAGACCAGTAGGAATGAGGAGCACACAGCACAAGATAAAGAGAAGGAGCCTCAGAAAGCATAAATCTGAAATGCTGACTACCCATGTTTAGTCCTGACTCTGGAGGTGCGAGGCCATGGAGAGACTTTTAACAAGCAGAGACCAGGACCAATGTGATCACACTTCCTGGTTCTAGTCAGGACTCAAACTGCAACGTTTTAAGGAGTTTGGAGATCCCAGAGAGTTACATGTGTGCGTCAGATCCTTATTTTCGCGTGGATGGACCTAAAAACAACTTCAGATCTTTTTTTTTAATGAGGGCTCAATGCTGTAACATGATTAAAACTACAGTATGTCTCCTTTAATATAGATTTACAAACAAGCAAAACAACTCAGTATATGAAGATGTACAAAACGGCCAATGTTAACAAAGAAAGAGCATTAATGTTTATTTGTGTTTGTGTGTTGTCTAGGCATGTTTTCACTGAATGAGTCGACAGGACTGATCTCCACCGCCAAACCCCTGGACTATGAAGCCAACTCCAGCTTCGTGTTGAGGGTGGAAGCCGACTCCTTGGGGGTGGTGCTCTCCAACTTCAGAGTTCCCTCTAAATGTAAGGACAGACTTCCACACATCTCAAATCTCACCATAAGTCACTCCTGCACTGCAAAAAGTGTTGAAAGTTAAGTCAAAAATTGCTCAGATTTGGCAAAATGTATCTAAATTTGAACACATTTTGACTTCCCTGAAACAATATTTGCCAATTGGACAAGCAAAATGATCTAGCAACAGACTAAATGGCTTGTCCTATTGGAAAATCTGGTTATAAGACAGTCAAAATGTTCAAATTAAGATGAAAACCACTCTATTCAAGCAACTATTACCTCATATTATATAATTTTTTGCAGTGCGTGTGACATCTGTAGCAGTTGTGGGTGTCTATCCAACTGTACATGCTGCAGGCACTTTCAGAAACCACACATTTAATGAAATACATTCTTCTTGTAAAGATCAAAGAGTAAAGAAAGTGTATGTTTTCAATCAAGTTTTTACAGTTTAGCAACTTTCTGATGTATGGAGTGGCGACCCCTCCTCCTCATGTGCACATCTCTGTCCTGAGGGTAGGTCACGTTGTTGATAGACTTTCATCAAAACACTAAAACTTACCAGTGACTTTTTGGTCTCGTAAGCACACGACTGAAGCGCCCAGAATGTAAATGTTGAATATCAAAGATTTGAAGATGATCAAAGTCGGGGAGATTTTATCTGAAAACTTTCCTGAGACATTATTACACAGTGCAGTAATTGGTACGAAGCCAAAATGAACATTCTGCCCACTCCTCGTTGCCTCATATTTCATTTTCCGGATCGTCCATTCAATAAATATGTCATCATTTATCCTATTGTCACTCCATCCAAACTTTATTGGTCTTTTTGGCTAATTGCATTTGGGATTCAAAACTAGAAAAAGTGAGTTCCCGCGTCTCCAAATGAAGCCATAACTGCAGTTAAAATGGTCATAATTACTCTCAAAGTCGTTATGACTTTCTCCACAGTCTCGCCTTGGCTCTCTCTGAAAACATATCTGCATTAGTTCTAATAGACTCTCGGCTCCGCTCCTTTCTCATTTCTCCTTCAATTACGCTGTTTACCACATGCAGCTCCACTCAATGCTGACTCTAAGCTAACGTTCCTGGGATTAAACTACAAATCATTGTCGTCATTAGCGGATCTCCACAGATTTCCTTTTCATTTGTATTCTAATCAGCCATCAAATCAATAGGACTCGCACAATGTGTTAATCTGCGGCTTCAATTCAAGCGAAGGTGGAATTATAGATAAGTGAAGTCACGGCTGGAGAAGTGGTTAAACAGATCTGTGTTTGTCGTGTACGTGTTGTTCTTAATGCCAGAGTAAATGTAGCCTCTATGACAGGGCTGCTGTAGATAATCTCAAATCGCTGATTAAATCTACAGTATAACGATTTGACAGGTTTGGTTGGTTTTCTCTGTTGCTCTGGACGTTTTTAACCGTATTCGATAACTTTGATTTTGTAGCATTTGTTTTATTCCACTTTGCTGGGGTTTAGCTAGAAGCAATACAAGCTCTGTGAATTACATTTGCCCGGTGGTGGTGCTATTTGTGAGTGACTTTGGTCAGAAAAAAGCCAAAACCAGCAACTTTTCATCCCGCAAACTAGCAACCCAAATGGAAGCCTCAATCTGCTCAATTATTGTAATAATTGTATTTTAAGTAAATAAACATCTGATTAGTGACCTTTTATCTGTGGACATTTACGATGAAGTAATGAAATAATGAAGTGACGTAGTTTAAAATGAAAAAATGACATACTGTCCCTTTAATTGTGAGGCATGATATGAAACATAATAAACAGAGGCATAACATGACTTCTTCGATCCACTACAACAAAGATAAATGTGAGGACAAAAATAATCAACAGTCATTGACATCAGTCAACTCCCCCCGATGGACTAATACCTGTGTGTTCTATATTCTGTGTGCTAGAACCTTTGATTCTCTGATCTGTGTTGGCAATTTCAACAATTTTGTAAAGTCCTCTGAGATAACTGCTGTTGTGATTTAGGGCTGTACAAGAATATATTCAATTGGTTTTCAGCAAGTATGGGGATTATAGTAGCTGTAGTGAAAGTTTATTATACATACAATCAATTCAATGTAACTTCCACAAATGTGTTTCCAAAACAATTGTCTTATAGATAAATATACTACTTAATTCATGTTCTAGAATTCTATTACCGTATTCTGTGCAGGTGCCAATACAAATCTGTGGGAAAGAAGCCATTTTTGAAAGAATAGTAGAAAAAATAAAACAATTTGATAGAGATTAGATTCACAAAGCTTCTCTTATGTATGAGAGTCCTTTCTCCTGGCCAACATCAAGAATATCGTCTCCACTTCTCGATACCTTTATGAGAAAATAATGAGACCATAGTTGATTTGCACTGACTAATGTGACAATGACAATGTGGAGATTTTTTTGTTTTTGTGGATTAGTCCAGAGATTACAAAGACATTGGGTATAAACTATCTTCAACACTTACTAAAGTCACCTGGAAAGATTATTTATTGAACCATTTTCAACTTTATGGAATATTCTCTCACACACAAACGCGAGCTATTACCGCAGTTGACTTTAAACCGTGCCCTGCTCTGCCTGTCGTCTTTCTGACACATAAATAAATAAAACAAATCATGAATAAGTTTGCAAAGACACACCACAAGTCGTCAAAAATGTGTATATTTAGAATGAGAGATCACATTTCCACAGGGGAACATTACTCAGACTAATTCTGCACCTGTCAACACGGAGCACAGGGGGAGCCGGTCGCCATGGCAGCTGTCACTCAAAGCTCGCGGCTGCACTTGTGTTGTGTCTGCGCTCTACACGTTTATCTTGTTGTGAAACTATCTCTTGTGTCGCAGCGAACACAGCCAAGGTGATGATCGACGTGCGGGACGAGAACGACCACGTGCCCGTCTTCACCAAATCGCTGTACATCGCCGGGGTAACGGAAGACGCCAAAACGTTCACGTCCGTCCTCAAAGTGCAGGTACAAAAGCCACACCCGCTACTCGCACATTACCCATACTGCTTTGCGACTTGAAGGGGAAGTCAGCTGCACGCGGCTGTGGCATGGACGGTATATCAGGAGTGTGACATCACCGCAGTGTTAGCCGAACGCAGAAGAAGCTGATTTGAACATAAGCTAGCTGGAGCCAATTTCCTTATATGGGCATTTTCATCGAGGGTGTTAGCTTTGCTGTGGCAGACATGTTGCTAAGGTGGTAGCTAAGGCTTGATGGAGTGATTGGTCAACAGTTATAAAGCATTAAAAGTATTGGGTTCTTCTATACCAGACAATACAAGGTTTTTGTGGTGTTATTACCTTGACATAAAACTTTTACCTAATACCAATACTTTTTATTCTACTAAGAAGACAAGATTAATTTTCCTAAACTAGTTATAAAGCATATATCTGGATTTATAAAGACAATTGCACAATGTAAACGCCTTGAACACCGAGATACCAAATAGGTGAATGTGACACAAACAGTTACAGAGCTAGAGAAGTTTACTTTTTTAATCTAAGTCAATTGGAGCCAGAACGAGTTGGGCTTCTTTGAGCTAGCGGGTTAGCATTATCCATCTATATACAGACTATAAGTTGTTAATGTTAGTTCTGGTCTGGGTTTTCCATTGTTGTTGGCGTAATGAGCACAGAAAAAGTCAGTTTGTCCCATTCTTTGGTTGTGGCTCTATTAAATCAAAACAACATCTACTGCACGCTACCCGCAGACACCCCCCAAGGTGCAATGCATTATGGTATTGCGCAAATAGTGGCTAGAGTCCAATTTTCAGTATTGTGTAAACATTGAATAATACGCTGTTTGATTACATTGCTCAGAATAGTTTGCAGTGTTACAATATTTGGCAGTTAATTCAGACATACTCCTCCAATGCTGATGGTTTTTTTTGTATGTAGCAGAGAAACGGTAAAAACACAACAGAGTATGTAGTATGTGGTATTATCTAACTACTTTCTCTCTCTCAAAACAGATTAGTAGTATTCACATATATGTTTTTTTGGCCTCAGTCCTAGATCTAAGAAAACAACCACACCATTTATATTACCATTAACATTGAACCCTGAATGCAATAGGCAACAATTCAAAATAAATATTAATAAACCCAGTCTCCAACACGGCTGTCTCCTACATTGACCCAGTTTACTGCATTGCTTTTCGTCTAGTTTTGTGTAAATCCAAGCAGCTAGATTAATTTTGTTCATAGAAATATATCAAAACTATATCCAATTCATCTTCAATAAAAGTCGTAATTTGGTCAAAAAACACCTTCATGATTATAAACAAATAACTTTAAAACTTTCCAGAAAAGAGATTCTTGGTTTTCCTGTTTTTGTCTCTGTTATGAGCCCACACTTTTCTCTGCTTCCTTACTTTCTCTACTGTTAATGTTAAAGAATGAGAACATGGTACAGTTTATTTAGAAGTTTATTATACAGTCCATATCTAGGAGCTAAACTGCCGGTGCAACTTTAGTTAAATGCATTTTCTCAGATGTTCATATATTTTGCACAAACACATGACAAACATAACCCCGCAATGCGTCCCAGCTTCACACAGATTCATTCTCATGCGGCCTCCAGACACATGCAGTTTGAGACCCCTGTTCTGAAATATTCTTATTGTTTGATTTTCTATTCTGTTATGAAAAATAATTAAATTCTGTGACGCCCCCTCAAGATATTGATTTGAGAAATAAATAGATTTGGTCTGATGATCTGCTGCTTCAGATGGAAAAGTGAGAGAGAGCCACTCTCCTCTCCATCAGCTCTCAGCCTCAATAGTGACTCACGGGGCTCTCTCCGTTTTCTAATGTTAGGGTCTGACTTGTTGACAACATTTTACTTCTACAAGACAAGTTTTACTGTGATAGACAATATGGATTTTTTTCTGTTATTGTATTTAACCCTTTAGGTGCCAGACGTTTTTTTTTACTCTTTCATTTAATTGTATCTATTTTTATATGAAATGAAAATATAAATGTTTTTAATGACAGACATACAAGTCACTAGGATATGAACACACACATTGTACCACACTCAAAGGTCAGGGAAATAATAAAAGTGTGCAAATCATTGTGTGGCAGGAAGTTTGAATGAATTTTGACATCCAGCTTGACACAAAAACAGCACCGCATATTGTCGAATTAAAGTAGCAGTAAAAGTCATCATTAAATGGCCCTAATATGTCAAAAGATATTAGTAAACCATGCTCTTTCCAAATACTTCTTTAACTGATAACTGTAGTTCAGCCGAGATATTCAATATTAAGAATTAGTTTTGCAGCCCCTGAATCTTGTTATTGTTTTCATTCCGATGTCCAGTTTTATCAGAAAGTCTGTGATCCGGGTTGCCAGAACTCACAAGTAACATGTGGCTGCAGAACTGAAAAAGGTCTTATAATTCTCAAATCATTAATGACAAAGCAAGGAATAAAACAAGGATTTCTATCTTTGTGAAAAAGGTGTTGGTTGTAGATTTGTTGTTGATAAAACTATATAAATAATACTGTATATAAATGTATAGATATTATGGTCCCAGCTGGACGCATGCTACATATCTGGCAACCTGAGTCAGAGAGAGTGGGAGAGGTTGCAGTACCGCTTTTGGCCAGATTATTACACACTGCTCCTTTAAGTGAACTGTGGCGCCTAGAGGGTTAAGTTAGGTATACCTCCCCTGAGTAGTCATCCATCCATCCATTTTCTTCCCCTTTATCCATTTCTGGGTCGGAGGGTGACAATCAGCTGCCACCCAATTCACCCAATCTTTCTGTCACATGTTTTACAATATATACATTTCCCTATAACGCATAATGCAACCTCCTAATTCCACAAAACACTCCTCTACGATACAGAATGATTTCCCCGGAGACTCCCTACTCTCCGCCTTTGCCCTCGCTGTTCTGCTTCTTATGAAACTTGCCTTTTGAAGCTTTTGTGCCCTCTTTTGCACTCCGAGTTCTTATTGCTGTTTTCAGGCGTCTGCTCGCTCTCTGCTGTTAGACCTGCATTAGACCTGCAGTGAGGAGCTGATTACAACCTGTGTGCACCATTTTCTTTTTCCAGATATAATCTCCAGTCCACTTCGTAACAAGATTACCCGCTGAGAAACCCGGTTGCGTTCATATTTTCTCCTCCAACAACCTAAGCGTTCAAAACCTTTCTTGTCCCAAAAAATGGGTCATGTCTTTGAGCTTTCTCCTCTTGTGAAGTAGCAATATGTTTTAATGAGCAGAGGTGCAGCACAGGCAGAAAAATATATGCACTTTTAATATTTTATCACAGTTTTTAAAAAATCATTCTTAGATATTTCCTTTTCATTATATCACACGACAGCAAAAAGTGACACGGGGATGAGAGGAGGAGGCGAGCGTGCCACAAAAACTCATTATTGAAAGTTGGAATTGAAAACGTGCTTCGCTCACAAAAGAAAGTTGAGTGATTTGGAGATAACTGTACAAAGATTTGAAAAAAAAATAACAAAAACGTCTCGACCACTGATCTGAACACGTATAGTTCACTTGCTGGGTCGGATAAAGCAAGTGAATAATTGATATTGCAGAATTTCGCCTGTCTTTTCTTGCAATGTATTAATTCATAACATTTCAAACCGAGGCTCCACCGGCTGATGCGCCGAGGGGAGTTTAATTAGAAGAGCTGGCATTCACATTTTTTTCCGCAAGGTAGTGTACAAAATTACAATTAAAATGTTTAGTTCTGTTTCAATTCAAACAAAGGATGATGACAGGTCTGAGGATAGCTCCAGGTTTAGCAGCTTAATCATTACAAGGTGTCTGACTTACTCGCACTGATGTCAGTCTGAGAGAAAATCAATGGATCCATAATGTCTAAAGAAAAGTCCAACTTCACTGGTGAAGTTTACACTGGTGCAGTAGAATTAAATAATAAATATTATGAATTATTCTCTTAACTTTTTCTGTTTTAAAATAATACATAATTTAGAGAATTTAGAGAATATATGGATATACATTAACTCACTGACTGCCAGGCATTTTCAGATTTGAGAAGTGCGTTCTGCCAACAATTTAAGGTGATTTGACCCAACTTTGAAGTGCCACAGAATATTCATTTTTTAGACGATGTAAACACCAAGGGCACCAAATTAAAGATTAACCTCTCTGCTTTACTCTGAAAAAAACAGTTTGTTTCTACCTCTTACCGTTCTTGAGCTATTCGCCATAGAACAAAGCATACTTTCACCCATAACACCTGGTCTGAGCAAGAAAACAGAGAAAACGAGTTGTATGTAAACGGGAACATATCGAGCAGAAAAGAGACTTTTAGATGCATTTTTGCTGCTTTAGTGACATTCAAAACATCTTCACACTTGTTCCATTACAAAAATTATAAGAACATGACTCTGAAATAATACTTTTGATGGCAAATTGTTGGCAATTTATTCACAGATAGAAAATTTAACTTCCTTCTATACCATCAACCAAAACGTCAAACAACAACAACACAAAGATCAATAAAACTATAGATGTATAAAATAGAATGAAGCGTGTGAATTTGAGTGTGTGTGTGTGTGTGTGTGAATGTCAGTGTGCGAGTGAGTGTCTGTGTGAGTGAGTGTCTGTGTGTGTGAATGTCAGTGTGCGAGTGAGTGTATGTGTGCGTGAGTGAGTGTGTGTGTGAGTGTCTGTGTGTGTGAATGTCAGTGTGCGAGTGAGTGTCTGTGTGCGTGAGTGAGTGTGTGTGTGTCTGTGCGCGTGAGTGAGTGAGTGAGTGCGTGTGAGTGTTCGTGAGTGTGTGTATGAGTGAGTTTATCTGCTTTTTCAGTCCTCCCAGTAGTTCAGCTTTGGGTTGTAGAGGTTGAAACACTGTGTGCAACGGAACACGACACGCTGTGTACCATTTGTAGTTCTCCCTCCGTGAAGAAGAGCTCCAGAAAGTATGGATCAGATGAATCCAGTTCCAGAAAGTCAGCTGGATCAGATGAAT